CGCCGTGTCCTCAGCCGCCACCCCCGTGCCAAGTCCCATTACCCGACCGGCATATCACATGTGCAGGGCGCAACGGTGTCACGCTGTGCTGCACCTGGTATGCCTTGGCGAACGTAGTCACACAGGGGAGGAACTTCTGAGTGTAATGAACAGAGAAATCGACAGATGGCTGTCTCCGCGCAAACTGAAAATCGGAACCATGTTGACCGACAACGGAAAGAACATGGTGTCTGCTCTGCGTCAAGGAAGGTTGTGCCATGCGCCATGCATGGCTCACGTGTTCAATCTGGTTGTCAAGCGGTTCCTAAAATCCACCATCCCACTGCAAGACATCCTTAAAATGTCACGTAAACTTTGCATGCATTTCAGCCATTCCTACACCGCAAAGCACACCCTCCTTGAGCTGCAGCGGCAGAACGGAATTCCACAGCAACGCCTGATCTGCGACGTTGCAACAAGGTGGAATTCAACCCTACACATGTTAGACCGCCTTTACGAACAGCGAAAGGCCATCACCGATTTCCTGATGTTACAAGCGGATAAAGGTACTCCCCTGTGTAACTTCGATGTCAGCCATTGGCAGCTCATGCGTGACACCTGCCGCTTGCTCAGGCCCTTTGAGGAGGCCACGCTATTCATGAGTCGGCAGGACTATGGGATGAACGACGTCATTCCTCTGTTGCACGTCCTGGAACAAATGCTGTTAACAATGGCTGGTCAGGGTGCAGTAGACGTGGCGCACAGATCTCAACGCCCCTTGAGTGAAATGGGTGGTTTTTCCACTCAGCGGACAGGAGTGGAGGAGCAGGAGCATCTGGTAGAGGAGGAGGAGGAGACAGAGGACCCAGACGCACCGTGGCAGTATGCTGTGGAGATGGAGGCAGGGAGTCCCTCGCATTCCTTGGCACAAATGGCCCATAGCATGCTCGGTTGCTTGCGTAGCGACAGCCGAATAATAACCATCAGACAGAGGGATGACTTTTGGCTGTCCACCTTGTTGGACCCATCGCTACCGTTTCAAAAATGGTGGCCTTTTTCACACCTGCTGAGAGGGAGGCCAAAATAACGTACTATAAAAACCACCTATGTAGTCAGTTGGTCTCTGCCTTTCTGCGCCAACATCCATCCTCAGACACTGTGGCCCTGTGCGCTCGCGTTCCGCGCCATGGCAGCAGGGGAGGGGTGGGGTGGTAGGAGCAGTGGCAGCTCCACCAGCAGCGGCTGCCTCAGTCTGCAGTCGATGATGAGTAGCTTTCTTCACCAGCGCAGTGAGGAAACTACTAACCAGCCGCAGCAGCAGCAGCATCAGGTGGACCTGGAGCAGGACCTCAAACAACAGGCTTGGGCCTACTTGGACAGCACCCTGCCAACCGAGGTAGACAATCCCCTTGACTACTGGGCAACGAAACTTGACCTTTGGCCCCAACTAGCTGAATTTGCCCTTGAAAGGCTGTCATGCCCCGGCCAGTAGCGTGGCATCGGAGCGCGTGTTTAGTGCGGCAGGAGGTATTGTAACTCTGCGGAGGACACGACTGTCCACCCAAAGTGTGGAGAGACTCACGTTTGTGAAAATGAATCAGGCGTGGATTAGTCTGGATTTCAAACCACCAGTTCCTGACACAACTGACTAAATCCGCCATGAGAATCATGCCCCAAACATGTGCCACTTTCAGGTCTCCTCACACTGCTGGTGTGTTCCATTTTGTCATAGGGTGCTGGCAGATTTCGGGCCTCCCATTGCTGCTGCCAGGCCCGTAATCTGCCATGGGCCCCCGTACCGCCTCCTCATGCTGCTGCCAGGTCCAGAGTCTCTCATGGGTCCCTGTACGGCCTCCCATTGCTGCTGGTCCCATCGCCACACTCTGCCATGTGCCACTTTCAGGGTCTCCTCACTCACATGCTGGTGTGTTCCATTTTTGTCATAGGGTGCTGGCAGATTTCGGGCCTCCCATTGCTGCTGCCAGGCCCGTAATCTGCCATGGGCCCCCGTACCGCCTCCTCCATGCTGCTGCCAGGTCCAGAGTCTCTCATGGGTCCCTGTACGCCTCCCATTGCTGCTGTCTCCATCGCCACACTCTGCCATGTGCCACTTTCAGGTCTCCTCACACTGCTGGTGTGTTCCATTTTGTCATAGGGTGCTGGCAGATTACGGGCCTCCCATTGCTGCTGCCAGGCCCGTAATCTGCCATGGGCCCCTGTACCGCCTCCTCATGCTGCTGCCAGGTCCACAGTGTCTCATGGGTCCCCTGTACGGCCTCCCATTGCTGCTGTCTCCATCGCCACACTCTGCCATGTGCCACTTTCAGGTCTCCTCACACTGCTGGTGGGTTTCCATTTTGTCATAGGGTGCTGGCAGATTACGGGACTCCCCATTGCTGCTGCCAGGCCCGTAATCTGACATGGACCCCCGTACCGCCTCCTCATGCTGCTGCCAGGTCCAGAGTCTCTCATGGGTCCCTGTACGGCCTCCCTTGCTGCTGTCTCCATCGCCACACTCTGCCATGTGCCACTTTCAGGTCTCCTCACACACTGCTGGTGGTGTTCCATTTTGTCATAGGGTGCTGGCAGATTACAGGGCTCCCATTGCTGCTGCCAGGCCTGTAATCTGCCATGGGCCCCTGTACCGCCTCCTCATGCTGCTGCCAGGTCCACAGTGTCTCATGGGTCCCTGTACGGCCTCCCATTGCTGCTGTCTCCATCGCCACACTCTGCCATGTGCCACTTTTCAGGTCTCCTCACACTGCTGGTGTGTTCCATTTTTGTCATAGGGTGCTGGCAGATTACGGGCCTCCCATTGCTGCTGCCAGGCCTGTAATCTGCCATGGGCCCCCCGTACCACCGCCTCCTCATGCTGCTGCCAGGTCCACAGTGTCTCATGGGTCCCTGTACAGCCTCCCATTGCTGCTGTCTCCATCGCCACACTCTGCCATGTGCCACTTTCAGGTCTCCTCACACTGCTGGTGTGTTCCATTTTGTCATAGGGTGCTGGCAGATTACGGGCCTCCCATTGCTGCTGCCAGGCCCGTAATCTGCCATGGGCCCCCGTACCGCCTCCTCATGCTGCTGCCAGGTCCACAGTGTCTCATGGGTCCCTGTACGGCCTCCCATTGCTGCTGTCTCCATCGCCACACTCTGCCATGTGCCACTTTCAGGTCTCCTCACACTGCTGGTGTGTTTCCATTTTGTCATAGGGTGCTGGCAGATTACGGGCCTCCCATTGCTGCTGCCAGGCCTGTAATCTGCCATGGGCCCCTGTACCGCCTCCTCATGCTGCTGCCAGGTACAGAGTGTGTCATGGGTCCCTGCACGGCCTCCCATTGCTGCTGTCTCCATCGCCACACTCTGCCATGTGCCACTTTCAGGTCTCCTCACACTGCTGGTGGGTTCCATTTTTGTCATAGGGTGCTGTATGGCCTCCCATTGCTGCTGCCTCCCACTGCCACACTGTGGCTCCACACTCTGGTTTTGGCCCCGTGACTGCCCAAATGAGTGAAGTGTGCGGTGATTCTAAGATCGACGGCACTCATCTGCATGTCATACTGACTGACAGTATTATTTCTCTTCCCCAGCAGACTCCAAGGGCATTTAAATTAAAGGTACAGTGTTCTGCACTAATATAAAGGCTCTCTGAAGCCTAGAAACACCCTTTTATAAGTTAAATTCGCAGCGAATATATTCGCCTCGAATCGAATTTATTCCTCGAATTCGCCGAATCAGCCGAATCGAATTTTTGAATACTTCGCTCATCTCTAATCACAATAAGTAATATTCAAGGAGAAAAAAAGGGAATAAACTATTGTCAAGTACATATTAAATCACAAAAAATATTACATATATCATAGTTCTGTTGAGCATGGATCAGGGGCGGACTGACCATTTGGAAACTCAGGCACTGCCCGAGGGCCCGGGGTCAGTAGGGGGCCTCATGAGATGCCCCTGGTACCTTTTTCATAGGCTTTTTTGATTTTGGGCAAGGACACAGGGGCTCCATGATCCCCTATTGCCCGAGGGCCCCTGTCAGTGAGTCCCTGACATGGATGTCATCTCCTACAGCTGAGGTGTGACAGATAATTGTCGCCATCGCCCCTAGGAATTCATACAAGGACCCTTTGACTATCACCGTAAACTACCATAGGGAAGAAAGGAGACTTTTTCTTTTTTTTTTTTTCCTACAGATTTTTTTTTTTTAAATTTAGGGTCCTTGCACATGGGTGTTCTGTTTTTTTCATCAGCTCAGCCACATTTTTTTTCCCAAGAAAAAACAGATCACTTCATATCAGTTTTTCATAAGTTTACATCAGGTTTTCACCAGTTTTACATCCATTTTTCATTCGTGTACATCCTTACCAATGCAAAAATGGGCCATATGTCCGTTTACATCCATTTTTTGTCCTTTTACATCCATTTTTTTCCATCCATTTACATTCATTTACATCAACTTTTCGTCCATTTACATTCGTTTACATCTGTTTTTTTTTTTGCCTGTTTATGTCAGTTTACATCCATTTTTTTTTTTTCGGATGTTCTGTTTTTTTAAAGGAAAGAAAAATAGGGTTTTCTTCCATTCAAAAAAATGGATGTTAACTAATGCGGACATTAACCACATCCCGACCGCCCTTTAGCAGATACACGCAGGGTGGCAGGGGTGCGCAAAATCACATGTATATATATATATATACGTGATTTTTTGCTGCTGGGTACAGGGTGCATGCAAGCCGCCTGCCCTACCTGCGACGCCATTTACCGCCGTGGCTGTCAATCACTGTTTCCCGGCCGCTGATTACCCGCTGATTACCGAGGATCTCCAACGAAGAGGAGCGCTGCTTTGTTTACTAACAGTCCTCCTCCCTGTCAACTCAGGCACACTGTTCTGGATGGCTTTGCACATCATGTTAACCCCTTCCTGCCCAGTGCCATTAGTACAGTGTGAGTGCTTTTTTTATCACTGATCACTGTATTGGTGTCACTGGGGATGTCAGTGACAGTTCCCCCCCCCCCATGTCAGAATGCCCGCCGCAGTCCCGTAGTTTCACTATAAGTCGCTGATCGCCACCATTACTAGTACAAAAAAAATTCCAGTATATATACCGTCATTTGTAAATGCTATAACTGTCACGTAAACCAATTAATTTACACGTATTGGGATTGTTTTTTAGCAAAGACATGTAACAAAATACATTTTGGCCTAAATATATGACAAATTTGATTTTATAAATTTTTTACTGGACATGTTTAATAACAAAAGGTCAAAAATATTGTTTTTTTTCTCAAAATTGTCGGGTTTTTTTATAGTGTAAAAAATAAAAAAACGCACAGGCGACCAAATACCACCGAAAGAAAGCTCAATTCATGGGGGGAAAAGGACGTAAATTTAATTTGAGTGCAATTGCCAGTCAAAGTCAAAGTGCAGCGCCGAAATGCAAAAAATGGCACGGTCAGGAAGGGGGGTAAATCCTCAGGAGGGCAAGTGGTTAATGGATGTAAACAGATGATCATACATTTACATCCACTAGTCCATAGAAATACATGGGTGGCTGTTGTTCATCCGTAAACGGACAGATGAAAAACAGGCAATGCCCTTGTTAAAGGGGCCCTATTTGCTATGGGCCTGTGTAAAATCAGTATCAATGTTTGCTGCATTCAGGTCCATAAAAAAAGCAAAACAGAGAAATCTGCATCTGAGATCCTGTGTATGGACCGTATTTTAAACTGTACGCATGTGCAAATGTTTAAATGCTTTCAGCATATACATCAAAAATGCACTCTATTGGAGCCATCTGTGTCCAAACAACCAATAAGCTGCATTGACACTGAACACTGGTATGCATGGAAACACCAATCCAATGTTACATGCCTAGAGCATACAGAGCACTTTTTACACATTTTACGCAAATTTCATATGGCCATATGCATGTACCTTACCCATTGGGGGCCTTCTCTGCAACAAGCTCCTCCTTTTGGTTAGACAATGCACCCAGCAGCTTCATAACAATTTTAACATCTGGCTGTCCATGTAATGTATATGTGTTTCGGCAGAGAGGGTAGGCTTTAAGAGCCACACGTCACTCATATGTATGGACAGCTGAGGTTTCTGTGATGAAAGTGTGCTCGCCATATGCTTCCAGCACAGTGATCGAGCTGTCATAGAGAGCTCGATCAGTTTCTAGTAATGATAACAGGAAAGGCTCCTGATCATGTGACCACTGTGACAGGCAATCACAGTGGTCATGTGATAAGGCAATCTGGGCCCTCCTATCCCTCTTGTATTGAACTGTATTGTTGCTGTATTGTCGCCCGTTATAATGTAAAGTGCTGAGCAAACTGTTGGCGCTATATAAATCCTGTATAATAATAATAATCTTTCCCACCACCTGCGCGTAAAGACTGTGTTAAAGGGTTGCCAGAGTGGGTGGACAGGTGTCAAGGATGCCATCTCTTAAAGTATATGCAAATATGTAAACTCTCAGCTTATAAAACAACCCATTTAGTTTACTATAAAAATGAAAGGCAAAACATTTATGTGTGTATATATATATATATATATATATATATATATATATATATATATATATATGCTTTTTTCTTTCTTTATAAATGATCACATCTGTTCTCAGCTGCATAAAGATCTTAGAGAACTGGGGGGAGGAGGAACAGCAGGACACTGGTCTTCCCAGTGAATGGCTGTGCAGGGGGAACGTGTCAGCACAAGTCTGATTATTGGAGGAGAACAGGCTGAGTTCCCAGCACAGTTAGAAAACTGACCACGCTGTGCTCTCATGTCTAGTGTAGTCAGTTTTTAATATGAAAGCAAAGGGACTGGCAGGAACACAAAACAAACAATACAAAGAGAACAGGATACTTTTTAGCACAAGTAAACGGTACAGCAGGCACATATCAGGAATTTGAAATGTTTGGTTTACATATTCTTTAAAGAATGCTAATGCATAAATATGTATTTTTACCTTTTTTGTTCACTTATATTACCATTTAATCTTTTTATTATTATGTATATATTATTATCTATATTATATGGGACAAATTATAATGCACAAAAAAGATTGTTAATATTTAGTATACGCAAATCCTTTTTTATCTATACTTTACACTGCATGTAAATGCTAACCAAGCTATCCAGCAACAAGTGACAGTTAAAGTGGTTGTACACATCTGAAATTAAAAATGAACAAAGCATATCCATCTATATTGTGTACTTGCAGTGTGTGTGTGATAAACTGGTACAACTTCTGCAGGAGGATTTGTTTCATTATTGTGTATCACCTGAGGACAGTCTCTGCACTGGGTATATGTAAAAGTTTACAACCAATTTCATTGGTTAAGACAAACTATATAAATAGTTATATATATATATAAGCTATATAAATGGGGTACCATAGTACATTTAATTGCATTTGCTCTGACTTCACAAGCATGCATGTTTATGCCAAAGCAGTGAGATCTCAGCCAGGATTTTCAGTCTTGCCTTATAGTAGGAGAAATCATAGCAATCCTTTGATAACCAGCCTAATATCAGTTGTGTGGGTGTCCTGTGCATATTTTTTTTAGCAAAAAAAAAAAGAAGAAATGTTGACAAATCTGGCTATCAAGTGAGAGTATTTCATTCATCTGGGTACATTTCATTATATATAGCACTGAGACAATGAATGAGTAACTGAACAAACAGTTCCTTGCCAGCAAGCTAGAGTACGGAGGATTGTACAATACACATTGTGTCATTTTCCTTCCTCTTCTCTGCCCGCCATGGCCAACCAGCCTGTAAATTCCCTGATATTGTAACAAACAGCCTCATAAAGATAAGATATATTTACTGAGGATGTAAGTAGAAATCCATATTATTTATTCAGAAGCAATTTATGATCACACCGGTGATAAGTTCTTATGGATGGTAGCAATTGAGCGTATTATTATTATTTATTTCAGGTACTTATATAGCGCCATCAATTTACGCTTGTATGTACTTTACATATATATTGTACATTCACATCAGTCCCTAACCCTCAAGGGGCATACAATGTAAGGTCCCCAGGGGCAGACTGACCATTTGGAAACTCGGGAACTGCCCAAGGGCCCGTGGTCAGTAGGGGGCCCCATGAGATGCCCCTGGTACCTTTTTCATAGGCTTTTTTGGGTTTGGGCAAGGACACAGGGGCCCCATGATCCCCTATTGCCCGGGGGCCCCATGAGTTGTCAGTCCACCCCTGAAGGTCCCTAACTTACATTCATACATACTAGGGACAATATAGACAGGAGCCAATTCACCTACCAGCATGTCTTTGGAATGTAGGAGGAAACCAGAGTACCTGGAGGAAACCTACACAGGCACAGGGAGAACATGCAAACTCCAGGTGGGTGGTGCCACTTTACATATATATTGTACATTCACATCAGTCCCTAACCCTCAAGGGGTGTACAATCTAAGGTCCCTAACTCATATTCATACATACACATACTAGGGACAATTTAGACAGGATTCAGTTAACCTACCAGTATGTTTTTGGATTATGGGAAGAAACTGGATTGCCTGGAGGAAACCCACGCAGGCACAGGGAGAACATGCAAACTCCAGGCAGGTGGTGCTGTGGTTGGGATTCGAACCAACAACCCGAGTACTGCCAGGCATAAGTGCTAACCACTTAGCCACTGTGCTGCCGCTGCATTCCTCTAATGTACCAGGTATTTTTCTTTGTATCCAGCAGCTGAACAGAGCATTGACCTACAGTTATCAATACGATCCAAATATGTCCATAGAAATGGCAGATGGAATCAATTTCAGTGGAGCAATGCAGACAGTATATATGAGAGATGTGTGTGTATGAGTGCAGAGTGCTGGGGCTCAATACAGGGAATCTACTCTGACACCTCCAGGCTTCGTCAGTAAGGCAGATAGGAAAGTCACCTTGTCAAAGTCTGACTAGTAAGTCTAATGTGAAGATGGCAATGATCAGTGCTATGCATTTCCAATGTAAAACACAGCAGTGATCATTACACAGTGTTCCACCAATAATGACATCAGTTATGGGGGGTAATAGAGATATGATGATTGCTATGGAAGCTAGGTAAGAGAACGACATATTAAGGGAACTGTGCATTTAAAGAATATGTAAACCCAACATTTCATATTCCTGATACATACCTGCTGTACCATGTATTTGTATGAAAAAAAATATCATGTTCTCTTTTTATTGCTTCCTTTGTGTGAAATCCCTGGTGTTCCTTCAAGCCAGACACTCTGCTTTCCTATTAATAACTGATCACACTAGGCATGAGATCACAGTGTGGTCAGTTTTATGGCTGTGCTTAGAACTCAGCCTGCTCTCATCGGATGATTGTGCTGACACACCCCCTCCGCACAGCCATTCACTGGGAAGACTGGTGTACTGCTGATTATCCTCCCTCGCCTCTCTATGCAGCTGAGAACAGAGAGTACAGTATGTGATCACTTACAAAAAAGGGGGAAAAGGGTATTTATCACTTTTTCTATAACTATATACACGCGTGTTGCTTTTCATTTCTATTTTAAACAGAACGGGTATTTTACAAGGTGAGGATTTACATATACTTTAAATGCAGTGTTTACATTTTATTATCAGTAAAGCAGTAGTGAAAACTTGTTGCTTTAGAAGAAAAATACTTGTTTTTATTTCAAGTGAAAAGATGTATCATTTTTAAGCCACAATCAAGGTCCTTAATGCTTTTTTTTGTGTTGGAGTGTATTTTAGTAGGAAATTTGTAATATACTAACACTTACAGCTTTAGATAAGCAATATTAACCCCAAAAGCAAACATTTATTATGTTGCAGCCCACCAATTCTTCGATGTGATGGCTGCATTAGTTTCCTTTTTTGGGCTTTTTTTTTTCTTCTATTTTCATCTGGTCATCCAGCCAGAAAGTCTGTAGTTTTTCAGTAGAAAAACTCTCTTGCAGTTATAGTTACAATTACACTGGCAAGCGTTCTTAAAAACAATCAAGTTTTATTTATTTATGTAAAATCTTTATCCTGAAAGGAAAAAAAACTGTTTGTTGTAAT